AGCCCGAGCCGCGGGCAGGGCCGCCGGCCACAGACACAGGTGCGCGCGGCCGGTCCCGCCCCCGCGGCCCCCCTCCAGCCCCGGGTGACCGGACCGTCTCCCGCCCTCGGTCCCGCCGCGGCTCTCACCCGAGCGTGGATCGAAGGTGACCACAAACACGGCCACTACCTGGTCTTCCTCCACGTCGCCCAGCTCCAGGCGCCCGGGCTGCAACAGCACCTCGGGGGGAGCCGGTTCCCCGGGTTCCCGCCTCCGGGGCGGCTCAGCCGCCGGCCGTGCGCCCCCGCCGCCTGCTCGACCCCGGCCTCCAGCGTGCAGTTCCGGGCCCTGCGGCTGGGACACAGCGGGGCCCTCGGCCCAGCGCAGCAGCGGCGCCGCGTCGCCCTGCTCCACCATGGCGAAGCGAGGAGGAGCCGCGGGCGCGGGGGCGGGGCGCTGCGGGCCGGGCCCTTCTTCCCTCCCCTCCTCTCTCGACTTTCCCCTCCCTCCCCTCGCCGAGCCCCAGACGCGGCCAGCACCTGCCCCTCCCGCCGCCCCAGGCGCCTTTCCCGGGGAGTCGGAGGAGGCGGCGTGGGCAGGGCTCTGCCACCCCCGCGCGGCCCAGGCCTCCAGAGTCCATCTCCGTGCGTGGGTGCGCGGTGCAGGGAGCGCGGTGCGGGACGCGCATCCCTGGGTCCGTCCACCGGCGCGTGGGCTGACACCTTTCCACCCAGGACTCCGCGGTCTAACTGTACTGCTGTAAATTTATAGACGTCACCATTATTTTATTAGTCTCGTGGTCACAAGGACCGCGACACATGTGTTACATAACCCTACGTGGGCTGCAAAAGCTGCTTCTAAGCAGAAAGGGGAAGCAGAGGAGCCCTGGCTACTCAGGTGCTTGGAGCACACAGACGTGAATGGGGGCTGCGAAGGGCAACAGCGCGGGGTCTGAGAACTTTTCTGACCATAAAGTTGACTGACTGGGGTGAAGATTATGAGTTTATTTCCTGATATACAGATATATATATATATATATATATATATATAGAGAGAGAGAGAGAGAGAGAGAGAGAGAGAGAGAGACAGACAGACAGACAGACAGACAGAGAGAGAGAGACAGAGAGAGAGAGATTTTGAAGGTCCAAACCTAAGACATGATGAGGCTTTTGTGGGAACATCTTTTTGTGTCAATCTGGTGGCTAAGTCACTTTCAGGGTAAAGATGAATGAGAAATAGGATTAGCCATCAAAACAATGAAGGATACGTGGCCAGAGGAGCGGAGGACCCAGGGCCCATTAGGAAGGTCTGGGTCTCACCTGCTAGGTGTGTGCGGGGAGGTGACCGTCCTTGACTTTCCAGGGCTGCAGCTTTCTGTCCAGAATATTTAACAATAAAACATTGTACTCTAAAAATATAGAAATTGCTTCCATCCTTTGCATATTTAGTTCATCTTGACCCCTGGGCCCAAGGGCAAGTAAGTGACCTCCTATTTATTCCTTTCCCCGTGTAGCACTAGGTAGGCAGTCACTGCATGGAAGGGGAGCTCTAGGGCACTCTGGCCACGGCCAGGGCCAGGGCACACTATCTGGTCTAGTCCAGGGCCATACACAAGCCCTTCAGGCCACACACCAGTGCCTAAGTTTTCAGAAGACCAGCCAAAACTGTTTCGAGACATTCACAATTTTATCTTGAAATATATAGCAGTGAGTTATGTAAAATCGTTAACAGTTTCTAAAACCATCAGCTTTAGGATAAATGGCCTCCCTTTCTGGACATTTGTGGAAGTCTCTCCTCTCTTCCAGATGCCCCAGTTCTTAGTTTTAACAGCCTCAGGTTATACCTACACTGGGAAGTAGAATCCTTGTCTCCATCCCAGTTTGCTATATGTACAGGGCACTAAATTTGCAAACCCAAGCCCTACTGTCTTTTTCAGTCTTATGAATACAGTATATTCTACCTCACCAACCACTGTGCCCATCTTGATATTCCTGGCGGGTTACATAGTAAGAGCTCAATAAGCATTTGTTAAAGTAAAGAAATGAAGATAGAGCATGATACCTCTCTACAGCAGGCCGTCTTGCTAGGTTTTATCTAGTGTCTTGCACACAGTGGGAACCTAAAACTGTTGATGCCAGTGCTAACATCTCCCTTAGTGCACACATTCACAGACTGGAAGAGATTGTCTCCTGACTCTCAGATTTATCTACTGTGTCTACAAAATTTCACACGATGATAGAGAGAAAGTGAATGTAGCTATGGAACCGCTCTGCTGAGGATCAGGGATAAAGGACAAGAGGGAAGGAAGGGTGACCCTGTTCAGAGACACTAGGATGATGTCATATTCCAAAATGAGTTCTAAATTTTCTTTCTTTTTTTTTTTAAATTATTTATTTATTTTTATTACATTTATTTATGTGTGTGTGTGTGTGTGTGTGTGGCCAGCTCAGCCCACCAGGGGGCGGGGCTGGCTGGCATGTGGTGCTGGGGGATTGAACCGCGGTCCCTGATGCTTTTGCCAAGCCTGTTTCAAGTAGGTGCCCTAGACCACTGAACCATCTCTCCAGCCCAAGTTCTAAATTTTCAAATAAATTTTTTATCTTACTTTTCAAAATACTAAAACCATCTGCATTATATAATCTAAGAGAAGAAAAGTATTTTTGATCTACAATCTTAACACAGATGACTGCTATTAGATTTTACTTAACTTATTTCATCAATTTTATAATGCAAACCCTGGTATGGTGGTACACACCTGTAATCCCAGCGCTTGGGAAACTGAGACAGGAGGATCGTCCTGAGTTTGAGACCAGACTGGGCTATGAAGTGAGTTCAAAGCTGGCCTGAACTGCACAGCAAGTCCCTGTCTCAAAAAGACAAAAAAATAAAAAATAAAATATGGCTGGCGAGATAGCTCAGTGGACTAAGTCCCCGCTTAGATAAGTGCAAGGACTGAGGTTTGATTCCCAGCACTGTATGCGGCACCTGCCCTGCCTCTGGGCTTGCCGAGCCAGCCATGGAGACTGGCCGTGGTGGCACATGCCTATAATCCCAGAGCTGGAGAGGCTGAAAATAGGAGGATCACTATGAATCTGAGCTGTGTAGTGAGACCCTGTGCCAAATACATTAAAAAAAAAAAAAGTGTCTAGTCTTTAACATTGCCATGGTAACTTGTGACGAAGTCTAGGTCTTATAGAGGTTTGGGGTTGCCGTGGTCAGCCATCTACGAGGACCAGCAACCTGTGCCTACCTTGATTTAAATTCTCTGCTTGGTGTTCTTTGGCCAACACTAGTAGTGTGAATTTAAGTGCAAGCTAGCTTGAACACTGGCTTGTAGTTCAAGTTGGTGGCTACATTTATTTTTTGTCTCTTTCTAGTGACAAAATTGACACAAGTGTTATGTGGCCCTCTCTGTGCGGAAGATTTATGTGCCACTGCTTTATATGGGACATCCTAATGGACTTCACATCTTGAACAATTTTTATTCTTGGTGGCATGCAGATAGAATAGCATATCTGTAGATCAGGTGATTTTCTTTTTTTATGCTTATAGACTGAAGTCCGGCTCTGTATCAAGTTTGTATTCTTTTTCCATTAATGTCAGAACGTGAACATTTTGCCACCTTTCCAGAAGCTTCTTATAAACATCATCTTTATGGTTTCCGGTAGATGGATATTGGGTTTCCTTAACTATCTGTCACTGTTGGATAGGTCAGTGTTTGGGATTTTTTGTTATTGCCAGAATAGTTTTGATCATTTCATTCTTCCTGAGTCTAATGACTTTAAATCCTGTAGACAGCACTGGGATGCTATGAAGAAGACAGAGA